CCAGTTCCTCTTGTTAGGTGAGCTCCTGATTAATCTCATGACAGTAAAACCATTCGCTGGTGACCTGTTGGTGCCTAAAACTCCCTGAAATAAAGAGCTGGAGCAACACCTTGCTTTGAGCATTAACCAGGGAAGAAATATTTCTGTGCAACTTTGCTGCCTGGTGAAAAAAAAAAATATTATTTTCCCCCCTCTGCTCCCTCTGATTTGTTGTTCTTTTTTTTTCCCTAGAAGGATAACAACCCCCCCAATCTCCCCAAAAATACAACAACAAAAAAATCCTGGAGATTCTTGAGAAAAATACGTAGAAAAGTTATACACATATCAAATTGTAACTTTATCTACTTAAAAGAATGAGAAATGTACAGTATTAGCTGCCACTAAAATTCCTTTATCCCTTGACAGCCGTCAGCAGTGGTGGTGCCATAAATACCTATCCTGACTCCTGTGTTTATACAGGTTGAGGCATTTAAGTACTGGAACAGTGTCCCTATGGTTTGGGAAACTGTGCATTACCTCAAAACATTGTGCTCCTAGACATGCTTGTAAATGAAAGTTAAATTAATGTTATATGATGACAAATAGATCTCTTGCACTGTATGCTCGCTTGCTTAAGGGATTATTTTTGCCTCTTGCTATTGCTGTCTAAGAGGAAAAAGTCAAAATATTGTAAATTGTTGGTGTGAATAGTATAAACAATAGGAAAACACGATTTTCTTTGGGGTCAGAAAGATAAAGGAGGAGAATAAACTTCTAATAAGCCTGGAAAATGTAAATTTTTTCATAATGCAGTTGGCACAGTGTGTGGACCAATGATTAATTGGTCATAATTATACCCAATGCTGTAGATATTAGAACTTGCTTGACTCAGTGCAGAACACTTACTGATTTTCAGAAAGAAGTTAGAGAGGATGGAAAATGTTTAAATTTTCCTGTTTATTTTAAGACAAGATATTTCACATGATCCCATTGACCACTCAAAAAATGTCATTGGAAGCCCTTTCTGGCATTGTGACAAAATTGATAGGACATATCACCAGTCTCCAGAATGCAAAAGCACAGCCAAAAGATTTTGTGGGAAAAAATAAAATAAACCACACATGAGCTTAAGTCTATTATTTTTTTTTTTTTAACTATAGGACTGGAGTAAAATTCTCTCTGTAAGAACAGAGTAGCACAGTGCTCAGGGAAGAGGGAACAGTAGAAATAAACAGTTCCTATGTGTTCATCATGGAGCAGTTTGGAGTTTTTGAGTGTGTGAGGATTGCAGCTTGGCTCCTTCCCACCCATCCCAAAACTCAGCCAAACTCTTGAGATGTTTCTGTTCCAACTCAGCCTCAATTAATTCTGACCCTCCATTCCACATCCGTAATCACAGAAATGGGAAACCCTAATATGTGTCTTGGGAGGCTGGTTCTCCACTTGTGTCTGCTTTAATGATACAGCACATTTGGAGTGCTGGAACTGGATACAAACCCATCTCAAGGACTTAGTGTTTATAAGGACTGGTTTTATGGTGTTCAAGTGATGCAGTTTAAAGAAACAAGAGTACCCATGTAGGAGCCCACTGTAAAAATGAATATAGCAATAAAAAGTGTTTACTTGGGTTTATTTACTCATTGTGGGATTTGCAATAATAGTTTACCATCTAATACGTGCTTCTTTCAAGGTTTCAGCAGGTTATGAGCAGATGACTTTGCCTGAATGACCACTTTGTGTTGGGTTTTGTTGTGTTTATGTTACATGTCTGGTTATATTTTCAATTTGCAGAGTCTATGAAGTGTTTGATGTATTTGTATAAACAATTTGATTTCTGACAAGATGTTCTGAATTAGGTACAACAATACACTAACAACATTCTGAGATCATTTAAAGTCCTTTGTTTAGTAACACAATGAATGTCATTAGACAGTTACAGTAAGAATGTGAGCGTTAAAAACAGCTTGTAAAAATGAAGTTTTTGAAATCTAGAATTATGAGGGATATCAAATTGGAGCATCTGCTTCTGTCTTTAATTTTTGAGTGAAATGTTTTCCTATTGATTCTTGACAAATGTGTTTCCCATCAAATCAGGCATTCAAGTTTCAGTTTTGACAATTGCACCTCAAAAAACAATTTTCAGTGCAAATTTTGAGATGGATGTTGAAAGTATGAAATTAAAAGTTGCCAGTTGTTTTTGTTTGCCTTTCAGTTGCAGTACTCAGGAGTCACGAGTTTCATCTTGCAACCACATTGACTGGAAACACTTCATTTCCACTAAAATAAAAACTAGTGTTTTCATGGAATTGCATGTCATCAGAATAAAAATTAAAAGAGAAACTTTCATAAGAGCATCAGATCTGCAAATATAAACTGTGTACATTTTTCCTCCACTTGCCTCTGTTCCCTGCAATTATTTGTATTGGCATTTAGTCTGTACTCATCCTTAGCTGCTGGAGCAGCCAAAGTTGTGTTGAGCTGCTCACTATAAACATCATCCACAGAGCTGTACCCTGTGAAGGCACATGAAGCACAAACACAGGTGTAACTCTGCAGGTGTTGTGCAGCTCAGGAATGCAGGGGAGCCTGCATGGGAGCTGTTACTCATATCATGTCCAGGACTTAAGAAAAATAGGAGGTAGTGAGGCTTGGGAAGGTGCTTGTATTCCCTGACTCCCCATTTTCCTCTTTGCCTGTGCCAGTTATGCTTCCCTGTGTCCTGTCCCAAAACTGTTCAGATTGTGTGGCAAAACTGTTGGCTTGTGGCTATTGAAATATTTCCAGGTGTCCTATCTACAAAGAAGAGTGCTCCAAAGCTCAGAGGGATAGAAGTCTTCCATTGGGAAACCGTGACTATTACAGCGATTTATGCACTATTTATATCTATTTGTTTTTTTCTTTGAAGTGCTACAAATGTTTGGTGTGTTTGTAAAATTTTCAAGATAATTTTAACTGTTCCATTGTGTAGTTTTGAATGTGGTCCATTCTTTTCTTTTTTTCCAGTTGTTTCAAGATTGGCAACTGAGACAAACAGTGCCATTCAGAAGAAAATAATTACTAACATTCTGTCTCCTTGAAAAACAGGTCTATGCTTTGCATCTCTATCTATAAAGTTTTGTAGTCAATAGGAAATGATGCCAGTTAACATGGAGCACTTGATAGTTTGAATTTTCTTGATGTATCAACTACTTGTTTGTTGTTATTAGTGCTGAACCATGAATAATTTACTGGCTTTCACTTTATAATCTGCAGAGTCTGCTAACTTTGAAGTTCAGTAGTCAATTTAAAGTTTGCTGGAGCTGACTAATGATTCACCAGAGATTTTTGTGAGATATTTTGTCATCCATTTAAAGCTTGGAAAGGTTTGCTGTTGCAGCCATCTGGCAATTCTTGGTTCTCTGGAGGAAAGAGAAGCCTTTTGATACAATAGATCAAAGCATTCTGCTCTTGCAGTGACTGATACCTATAAGTAACTTAGAAGTTTCTCAAAATGATTTCACAATGCCTGTCTCGTTTGCCAAACTTTTGCATTCTAACTACAATACAATATTGGGTATGAATTACATTTTAATTATATTTGAATCATTATCTAGGAATTTCTGTTTGCAGTTGATTTACAGATCCAAGTGCTCTATAAACTAAGAGGTTTTAAATTTACCAGATATGCTGTTATGATTAATAAAATTGATGCTAAATCTTGTTGCTCGTAGTGTTAATGGTATAGGTAAGGGTACTCTCCAACAACTGTATTTGTGCTACACCATAAGCACAAGAGATCCAGGTGTACCCCTAAGACTGTAGGTGATGTAAAGCCAGAGTCCAAAACCACATATAACATTATTTCTAGAACTAACTCTGTAAGCAGTTGGAATTCTGAGGTTGGGCTTCACAGATGTTTGGCAGTGAGGAGCAAATACAGAGAGAGCGAGTGAGAACAGGAAGTGAGCACTGCACCATCCCTTGAAGGGAGCCTGGTGTCACTCTGGATGGTCCATGCACATGTGAGGTTTGTCTGGGATCAGGATGTTGTTTCTGTTCCATCGGACATTCCGGATGTGCAGTCGCTGTGACCGCACATGTGCCGCCTTCTCACGGAGCGACTTCATTGCATCACAAGTGTGCCACAAGCAGCCAAGCCAGAATGATGAAATTGGCTTTTACCTTCTACACTGTTTAGTTCAAGGTGTCTGAGTGAGATTTGCTGCTGGGTTACAGTAGAAAAAAGGGAACCCCATACCTCTGTGCAGGACAGCAGTGTATTCATGCCATTCACTCTTCCTTGTGTATGTTCCTTATAACGATTGATGTAACAATGAAATAAAATAACCATTGTATGCCACACTGTCCTCAATCAAAACCCATCAAGGAATTTCACACATAGCTGATGTGTCTTGGGATGTAGCCTATATCACCCTAATAACTGTATATGGTCTTTAGTAATACATAAGCCTTATTATTTAACCATTCAAAGTACAGATGACAGATGTAACTATCAAATATCCACTGACAAGTCCTTCAGACTTGCTGTTCTTTACATTAGGTAGCTTGGAGAGAGGAAAATACATCTAAGATGCTGAATTTTTAAGTACATAATAAATTTTAAACACCAACTAGATAATTAATACAGTACTGAATTTTCAGAAAACAGAATGATATTAATTTGGTGAAGGAATAGCTTATTTTTCACACTCTAAAATTTTCTTGAACTCAGATTTGAAAGTGACATTTAGATAGCAGAAGAAAATTCCACACACTTGTGCTTGTCATATAAACATTTCAGTGAGCTATCCAGGATAGGTCTGGTGCTCTTGTTCCTTGTTAAGTCCACAAACAATGATAAATTTGTAATTCTCTACTTCATAAACTTCCACAATTTAACGTTCTGCCTGCTGTAACTCTGAATCAGATGCATGTGCTTACCTGATTGTTTATCTCCCCATCTGCTCAACATGTGCTTCCTAGCAGCTACAGTTCAACATGTTTTCTCTTCTTTTTTTTTTTTTTTTTTTTTTTCTCTCCAGTGTGGGAACTTTGCTGTCTTGGTGGATGTTCATATTTTGCCTCAAGGTTCCAGTAAAGACACCAGCTGGTTTTCAGATCATGAGAAAGAGGTACAACAAATATCAATCCTACTTCAAAAGCATATGGCTGCAGGGAAAAAGTTGGATTGCCTTGAACTGCTCAGGATTTTTCAGTGTTAGGAGAATATTGTTAGTTATACCTAACCATCAGTGGTTGCCAAGGGACCCCTAAGTCAACCATATGTGTTTTCTGGGTCACTAATGACCACTTTAAATCTCCTTTTTAATTTTTAAACTCTGTGTGTGTGCACATTTATGCGTGCATGTATACTGTGTGGGTTCTTCTGACTTATCTTTTAATTTAAAAATATGTTTCTCATAAATGCTTGTAAATTATCCTGATTGATATAAGGCAAATTGTGGCAGGTATCGTTTTGCTGGTGAAATACCTTCCTAATAATTTTTTTTTCTTCATTCTGCATTTAGAGGGTGTAAGAAAACATAAATATGCATGACAAACTATAGTAGTACTGTCACATCTTATGAAAAGAAACTTCCATTATTTTTAACTGTGCCATGTGCATATCCTGATGAAATTGTGGAAAATCAGTACATCATTGAGCAGCAAAATTCTGCCTGTAATTTTCATCAGATTGTAGAGGAATTACACAGGATCTTGTGCTGAGTTGCTGGCAGGAGATTCCCCTCTGTGTGGGAACTTGAGAAGCTCCCTGTTGCAAACGGAGGCAGGACATGTTTGGGATGCCTGTGGACTTTCCCGCAAGTCTCCGTTACGGTAATTTTCAGCAGATAGCTTCCCTAATAATGCCATCATTAACTTGTCACTGCACAGCGTCCCCAGACATCTCAGTCATACATTTAAATGAAATTAAAAGAAACAGTACATTAATATCCTGAGGGAGCAAAAGCAGAATATTTAGCAGCGTGTGGTTCATCTGATTTGTGCTTTATTAAGCAGAGAAATAAGAAAATAGGGAAAATCTTTCAGATTTCTATTTTATGACTAGATGAATGCTCATTACCTTTTTGTATTTATAAGCAGTTTTACTCTCCTGGTTATCTGAGTTTTAAGTGTTTTCAAAATGTCTTTTGTAACCCTGCCAAAACAAAAGAGATGAATTTCAGGAAATTAGCTCATGATTGATTTAATAAAGAGGCATGACAGAACAGCAGTCAGTGCATTTCTGTGACTGCATGTTTCAAGAGAAGTACAAAGGTTGCATCTTTTCAACAACTGAGAAGTGTGAGACCAATAGCTTTGCAATTCACTTCCTGAAAGTCCTATGCAGAATCTTTGTGTAACTGAGGGAAGAAAATGTCCTAAAGAAAGATTATTCCAACAGACTTTTATGCTTTTACATGTTCATTGCGAGTGGTATTCTGCATTTTTGTTGTTTCCAAACTCTGGAAAATTCTTGTGGTGGTGTAGCCCTCTCCTCCTGTCTGTGGGAAATGTGGATGCCTCTGTAACAAACACAATTCCTGCTGATCCCCTGCTTACCCTGGATGAAAGTCATTGGCTTGAGCTCAAGGATCCTGATGATGCTGTCCCAGTGGCCTTTTGGCTGTTGGCTCCTCTTTGGAGCACTTGCCATGGAGGGCAGGATGGAGCTACACCAGTGCCCAAAGCATGGGACTGCTGTAAGGAAACACGGCTGGGTGCTGGAATGACCACTGTGCCTCACTGCTGGCACCAGTTGGATGTGGAGTATTTTTGGGATTGCTGTGAGATGCTGCAGTTTTTCCCCTCCTTCTGCCCTTCTAATTTCCCTGCCCTTTCTTTCATACCCCTTTTCCCCTGGAATGGCAAAGACAAAGATTTCTCTTTGCCCTCTGAGGTCTGTATGTTTCTTTGTAGAGAGCCATTTAAATAATATTTCCATAAGCCTAACAAGTAAAATATGTTCCATGTAAATGAAGGAAGTGCATGGTAATGTTTATTGCTGTAGAAGGAACCAAAGACACACCATGTTTCTGCTGCTTTCAAGACCTTTTCATTCTAACCTGAACACAGGCCCATGAAGGAATGTGTAATGGGAGCACTTTAATGAGTTAAACAGAAGAATGAGCAAATACAGTAACTTATAATTGTGCTCTATAAGCAGAAAGGAAAATGTATTTCTTACTGTAAAGAGAAAATACTGGTTGTGATTGACTAATGTATATGCCCTTTCATTTAGAACAACACATTTTTAATGCATTGCTCTGAGTATTTTCTACATTAATCAAAAGGAAATTTCAAGGCAAGATAGTTTAGATACTACTTATATAATTTTATCTATTACCCTAACAGATTGTAGAGGTAAAATTATATTTTTGTGTGCCACAAAGTATCATTGCTGTGAGCACGTAGTTATGAACAAAAGAAAATGCAAATACTGAGGGAAAAGTCTCAAATAAGTGTGCGTGCATTAAGCTTAAAACTTATTCTGGTATTCAAGAGATTAATTTTTGGTTTTTAGTCCAAGTATTTTTTTTTCTGTGTAATTTTGGCAGAAGGTTTTGTTCCTCCTGAGTTGTATGTGGTTTCATTGTGCTTTGTTGAAGAAAGTATGAAAGATACAAACAGTTATGTTTAGGAGCAGAAAAATCTAAATTAATTAGAGCAATTAAGTTGCTGTGACCTAATTTGCTCAGCCTTACCCACCCCCCCATCCCACCCCCTGAAATTACTCAGAATTGGAGCAAAGTATCTGTTGTGGTTTATAAGGATTCTTGCAGAGAAATAGCATGTTTGACAATTCCTGAGAGGATTTTTACTAAAATTTTGCTTAAATACCTAACATTGTGATATATTTTAACATGTATTTTTTTCCTTCTTTGCATGCATATGAAACTAATTCCTGATTTTAAAAAGAAAGTTAGTATTGTAATATAATGTATTTTATCTGCCAAGTAAGAATTTCATAATGTATTTCCTCTCTTGTTCTGTAGAAAAATGGTTTGATTCCCTTCCTTGTTCCCATTCATTTCCTAATCCATGTGCTTCTCCTCTCAGTGTTTTTCCTTTTAATGGGAGAGGGGATAATTTTGTATTGATTTCTGCTGTGTGCCTGTAGGCATTTCTGTAAATTCAGATCAAACCAGGCTAGTGGTTTCTCTTTCAGGAGGTCTGCAAGCTCCTAGAAGAAGTTGTTGCTTCAAGGGTCAAACATTACTTGGAGGCACCTAAACAACGTGGTCAGTGGAAACCCATGGAACATGGATCAGCTGGGCCTTTGTTTCTTACTGGTAAAAGAAATTTTTTAGCTTAGTGTGAAATAAAGTGTACTGGAAAATACCGTTCCTTATTTTTTCTGTGAGAAATTTGCCATCAGGAAGGCCTGAAATAGTTGATGTTTTGGTCTGAAATTACTTCAGCTATGTAAGTGAAAAAATTAAGTGGATTTTAATTTTTATGTGTTGCTTAAAAGCGAACATAATGCTGCTACTTTTAATCCGAGAGCCTAGCATTAGAACTAAAAAAAAAAATAACTTATACAACTGTTGGTCCTGCAAAATTGATTGAAATCTTGCTGGCTAATTAAGTCTCCTTTCCACACACACATTTAGTTTAGAATTTCTAAATACAGAAACAAAATCTTCTTTTATTTTTGGCAATCTGTTCAGTCTTAAAAAGTTGATGTAAAGTGATAAATGACATTTGTCATTTCACCAGTGCTACTGCAGGCCAGGCAGCAGCACCCACGACCTTGGGAGTGCAGAAGAGAACAGGATTAAGAGCCTTCACCTGTTTGGGACTCGTTTTTTGTGTGTGTGAGGTGTTGAGGGCAGTGGTGCCATTTCAGTAGATCCATGTTTTGAACTAAAGATCATGATCACTGTAGCTTGGGCCTTACTGTTAGGTCAGCTTTGGGGCTGAATGGCTGTTTTTGTTTAATACAATTTCGTTGTTAGCATAATGGTGGGGTTTACAGTAGATAGGCTTATCTGTTGGTCTTATATTATACCAAAAATTTCCCTTTAAATAGTTCTTAAGCAAAAAATTACTGGTGTTTGTTACTAGCCTGGAGCATGTTATAAACTTGTCACAGGAAAGAAGGGCTGCAGTAGTAAAGCTCTGTGCTGGCCATGCTTTGTCACATTTCTTTAAATACTTTGAAAGATCTTTACTGGAGTATGACTTTTGTAATGCACATGATTCCATACTTACATTATATCATCACTATACTCATAAATTTTAGAATTCAACATATATTATATGAACAATTGCAGTTGGAAGCAAGTTCTTTGCCTCTAAAAATGTTTTCCAGTATTGGAAAGGTATATTCCTATAGAATTCTGGTTGATGCATTGACAGCTTTACATGCTGTTGTCAATAATAATGAGAAAACACAGGTTATATACTGTATGGTTGGCTTATTGCAAAACTTTAGGCATATATGGGAGCCAAGTTCTTCTGGCATGACATGGGCTTTTTCCACCCCTCAAGAACACAATACCACATAAGCAAGAGGTACTTGAGGCCACCAAAGGATTTCCAAACCCTTTTCTTCCTTGCAAGTTCTAACTGCATTTTATCCCTTTAAAATATTATTATTGTTTGTCAAGCACATGAACTTTCAGACCCCTGTACCTTTCTGATTGTGTGTGGACATTGGGGATGGTGGGATCTGAATTGCTAAGATTTGTTGAAGTTTTCCTGTGTTTTCTTTTATCGAGGGATTTTTTTTGATTATTTATTTTTTTAAGCTTCCTGCCTCAGTAAAAGGTAGGTTTTGAAAAAATTATGATTTTATAAGGTAAGACTGCCAGACATAATAGCTGTTTTTATGTATATGGGTAGATGCAACACTAATTTGAGGGTGTTTGTGAGAATTTAGGGTCTTCTATTTTCTTTCATATAATGAACTTTTCAGTAAAAATACTGGTGTGTTGTCCTAGGGTTGGGAACTGATCTTCTGCTTGACTCTTCCCCTTGTTTCCTGAAAATTAAAAACTTAGGGATATGCATTTGAGGAGGTCAACAGTAATATCAGTGACAGTTTTAGATTAAAGAATATTTACTTTGGATGAGGCAGAATGACTTTCCATCAGTTTTCTGCAGTTAATCTCACCGTCATTAATTAACAATAAAGAACTAAAGGAAGAAAACAGGCTGTGATAACCAACGTTCATGTTAAGCTTCACTTCCAAAGCCAACTCATTCTTTTTCTCTCAGCCTGCTTTGCTCAAGGCTGTAATTTGTAAGAAAGGAGTGCTTTGTTCAAGTCCAAGAATCAAGTTTCTTCAAGTTCCATTCAAGTCTGTTCTTACCTGGGAAGGAAATAACAGAAATAGGTGGGTGTTCACTGGGGCAACCAGGCTCTGCCTCTAAGGACTGACCCTTTGAGGTGAACCACAGGGCCAGGAGGCTTTACCAGTTACCTCTTGTGTTCTGCCCTTCTCTCTGGGATCACAGGTTCTGTTTGTAGGCTGCAGGGAGAAGGGTTTGTGTTTTTCACACAAATGGAGTGCCACATTCCAGGCCAGTGCTTGGCTGGCTGTGTTTTGTACCACACAAAGGAATGCACGAGCCTGGTACAGAAGTGCTGCTGGGAAAAGGCTTCAGCTGCAGCTCTGGTTGCATTTGGAGCTTATGAAGAGTTTGAGTTCTTCAAGCCCTGTGTGGTTTCTTTTGCTCCAAGTTATCCAAGTCTGTGTGGAGTTTCACTGCTGTAAACCCTCTGCTCTTGTAAGGAGGTGTGTATCTACAGAGGGATCCTTCACAGGATTGTTAACTGCTTACCTATTGTTTCCAGTGTCCCAGGTCAGCATCTCCCTGGTTGTAGCTGCATCTTGGCAAGTCAGTTTTAACTAGTTTGCTGTACACACTGCAGGATGTATTCAAAATTACTTGAACAGAGAATTACTAGACCAGTATTAATAAGATTTTAGAGTACCTTTAATGTCAAGGCATGTTCTATTAAGTTTTATTTCAGAACTAGAAACCAAGCTACTACTTCCTTACTATTCCTATCTTGAAGAAAAAATCTTCACCTATCACGGCTGCTTTTCAGTATTAACATTATATTATGTTTAATATTAATATTATTTGACACTGCTTTTCTTTTTTGTGGCACTTAATGTAAATATCTATGCAAGTTACTTGTTAATTTACATTTCTTTTTCATTTGAGTTACACCCACACTGCAGTGTGTGGTGGGTCGCATACCAGCTCATTAGGAAATCTGTGGGTGTTACACACAGGAGAAGAAAGAAAGAAGGAAAGAATGGAAAAATGAGAGAAAGTAGCCAAGACAAGCAAGTTCTTCCTATTCTTCCTTCTGTCTGAACAATTTCCACACCCTTCCCAAATGGCCAGTATGAACAATTTGCCAAAGTAAGCTTTAATTTAGTCTTTGGACACAGGCTTTGGTATAAACCCTCTGCTTCTCGTGTTTAATTAATGTCCAAATGTGTTTGACTTTGGTTTATTTTATTTTTTTAAAGATTAATTTAAAATGAGGTGGATTTTCAAAGGTTGAATTTTGCCTGCATCCAATCTGCATGACCAAAATCATACTAGAAGAGCATCAGTTAGGTATGGCTTGTGATTGCAGTATTTGGAGTTTCATCTTCCACAGAAAGTGTCTGGTTTTGATCAAGAGCAGTGAGAATTAAGAGAAGACTACAGAGGGCTGAGTAGACATATGAAATACAGGAGAAATGGGAAAGGGAAGAACTGAAACAATAAGGAAGAAGGTAAGGTTTACATGGCCACAGAGGAAACAATGAGGAGAAATGAAAACAAAAAAATGGCTGGTAGAAATGTCAATGTTAGTAATGGAAGGAAGGAAGAAGGTATATTGTAAACTGACCTTCTTCCCCTTCTTGAGAGAGGAGAAAGTGAACTATGTTTTTCCTACAAGTAATTTTCAGATCTATCTCATTCCTTCCCTAGCATCCTTGCTGTTTTTGTTGGCTTGAGGGTGGGACATTTTTGTTCTGATTTCAGATCTTTTTATTGTACAGTCTCTTCTACAGTGAAAATAATTAGAGAGCATGCTGTCACATGGCACAGCGAGCTCCCAGCTTGATTTTATCTGCTTTCCCTGGGATTCTGTGTATTTTCTTAATATATTTTTAACTTTCTTCTCTCATGAAATGGGGCTTACTGTGATCATGTTTCCTGAGTCCTTCTTTTCACCCAGTTGCTTTTTGCAAATGTGGCTGTACTTTATTACCAGGTAGAAGTCTTAGACTTGAAATTCTCAGACATTAACTTCTGACAAGTTTACTAAAATGAGAAACTGGAAAAGGTACAAGAGCTGTTACGAGTAGTTCAAAGGTCTTACAAAGGTCTGGAGTCAAAGTTCATATCTTATTTAGTATAAAGAAAAACGCATAAGATGCAATTTCATAAGAAAATACATTTCTCTTGCTTATGAAACGATTTTTTTGGCTCCTGCAAGCGCACAAAAAATATACAATAAATCATGATGGTAAATATTCCAAACTCTTTTGGCCTTGCACTTTCATTTGAACGTTATGATATTTTTAAGGGAAACACCCTTTTCAGACTGCCCCAGTTTGCTTTAGGAGTGTTTGCTGTTACTGTAGGACATAAATTGTGTGAAATGCTTGTAGAGAATGTCCCACATTATAATCCTATAATAGCAAAACTGATTTATTCCCACCCTCCCAGCTGTTAACTCATGCTCCTCTGCTGTGAAACTGTTTGATTTGAACTAGAATCTTTTCACTTGCCTTACTTAAACAGCAACTCTGGAACACTTTGGGTGCAACTAGAGGGAGGATAAGCTGCCATAGGGGTCTGAGGAGGAGTCTTTCCAGTGAACTTTGATATTTGGAGTTGCATATTGTAATATCTGTCTCTGAAAAGAATTACATTGCAGCTTCCCTACAATGGACTCATTTATGATTTGTGGCCAAGTCCTGCAGATCTGTGTGAACTTTAAACTTACATTCATCTGTCTGTGACAACAGAGCTCCCTGAAGTATGCAGTAACTTATGCAATAACTTATGAAAAATGTTTTGATTAGTATCTTGTACTTAATATTTCCTGGTTTTGTTTTAGATTACTCCCCCCCCCCATTTTTTTATGGCCAGATAATGGGGAATAAGGGCATTTTTTTTTTTGCCAAAGCATTTTTTCTTCTAGAAGATCAAGGTTGTATATCTGAACTCCTTTTTTTGTAATTTTCTTCTTTTTTCAGGGTAATGGATATTTGACAAGAACAAAAGAAATGTCTGTACTTACACGCTCTTTGGGTGTTTTCTTTTTCTG